AATTTATTCAAATTCAAATAAAAGATATATGAACATATGAATGATTTATTGATAAATTTACTCCCAACCTTCTCCTTCAGTTTTTGCTACAAGCAATTGATCATTCCATGGGCCTAACATGCGTAAACGATCAGCAGCCCGAACTCGAACCTGATATTCGGTTCCAGGTAAAAGACTGGTAACGCTAACTGATGGATGCGTTACTGTTTGTCGATGAACGTCGAATTTCGTTTCAATGCCAGCTAGCTGGAATAAATTTACCACATTTCCGGTTAATGAATATAAATTATTCTCATATAAAAATCCCAATCTGATAATTAAATAATTAATTTCATTTTTAATAGCTTCTGAAAGAAAAGCACGACAAATGAATTCTAAAAGTAGTGAATTTAACAAGTGAAAAGAAGTATTTTTGGAAAAGCAAAAGAACAAACCTCAATATGGTACTCGCCAACAGAGCCACATTCAGGTGGTTCCCATGATATAGCAATACTGTATTGGCCTGTTTGTGTCACCTCGAGATTTCGTGGAGCTGTCAACTCATCTGTAATTCAGAAGTAAAATTTAATAGAGTGAGATTCTAAAAACAAGTGATCTATTGTCTTTTAATTATAGCAGTGACATTTAATGATATAAAAACATGCTTCTGCTTCACGTTGAACTAATCAGAAACCAGAATATTTCACTAAATAATATTAATTTTGCCATTTATTTTAGAATAATCAGTATAGTGAGCAAAAAAAAAAAAACGGAAAAAGAAACGGAATTTAGGATGGAAATTATCGGAAAACAAACCTGATTCACATTTAATGCTAACCATTTCATTACGTGCACGTATTTCTGGCGTTTCCACCAGAATTTTACCATTTTTACCTAAGACTTTGATACGGACAAAATAAGCGATTCCAGTCGGTAGACGTGGAATCTGAAAACTTTCATGTTTAATGCTCAGCCAACCTAATATTGTTTTTTTCCTTTTTTATTCACTTTTACCTTGGCTTATACTTTGACAATCGATAAGAGATGGCAAGATAAAATAAGTTTCTTTTTTTGCAACAAATAAAAATTTTTGATGTGATGAACAAATGTGACATTTAAATTTCAATAACAAATCTATGAAGACTTCTAGAAAGAATTAAAACAATTAATTAAAGGTATACCTGTACTCTGTATTGCAAATTAGGTCCTTTATAAGGAATAATACCATCGTGAACATGCCACTGTGTGTCCTTTTCTGCACGGTACTCAACCGCAAATCCTCCAACACTATCGTCCGGATGATCACCGGTCTGAATACCTTCCCATTCAACGGTTAGCAAACTTTGGGACCCACCAGTTTCTCGTCGCAATCGAATGCGAGGTTCGTTACCTGGAAAATTGATGAATATGTTATACAATGATGGCAATAAAAAAATTCGGGAATTTTTATTTCTTGCTAATGTCATTATTAAATTGCTAATGATAGTTTAAATTAATGGAAAAGTATTGACTTACTTTTCGGCATCTAATATGACACATATCCAGGTTAAGGTTTAAATCTTTGTGTTAAATGTTAAATTATTAAAAGGTTAAATTGAAATGCTATGTGGTATGTAGCAAATTGAACAAATAAATAAATAAATAAAACAAATAAATAAATAAATGAAACAAATAAATAAATAAGTGAAATAAATAAACAAATAAATAAATAAATAAATGGATAAATAAACAAGTAAATAAATAAATAAATGAACAAGTAAGTAATTAGATGGATAAATAAATAAATAAGCAAATAAATAAATAAATAAATAGATAAATACACAAATAGGTGAATAAATAAATAAGTAAATAAATAAATAAATAAATAAACAAATAAATAAATAAATAAATGAATAAAAGTCATATGAAACATATGAAAACTATTGTTGACATATGAAAACTATTGTTCTACACAAAATAAACGGAACAAAGAGAAAAAAATCAAAATCAACAAAACCTCTTATCGCATAAATGAGAATTAACGCGACGAAGAGCTTTTGAAGGCTCACCGAATACGCGCTCATCCTGAAATTACAAATGTTTGGCTTAATATTGTATTCAAATTTAACGTAAAACGAGACACACTTAACTAATAAAATACAAAAGTACGCATGAAAACGTGAAAACGTATGGAACATGAAAGGCGTGAAACGTGAAAACGTGTGAAAATCATCAAATCCATAACAATGCAATAAAATGAAAATGA